TTCCTCGTCGACGTCTAATCACATCAGACGTTATCTCTGCGTGTCGCGCCTCAACTACAGGTTCTAACATATGTTCTACTTACTCAAGCAAATAAACGCTTGAAAATTAGCTCCTAAATTAGCTCTTCCCTGTTTTCTCACCTCCCTAATCTTTTCTGCTCCCTACGCAGTCATCTCAGCGTGAAGGTCTGGGTAGTTAGTCGATTCTGTACTTACTCGTTATAACTTCAGTGCCGCATCACCAATTTTTTCATTAAAAAACATGTAGAACAGACAATAAACCAATCTCTCCCTTCCTACTAACCGACCCTTTTCGGGGGGGGGGGGGGGGAGGGGATGGATTCTAATATAGGTACTGAAGTTGAAAATTAGGTGATGCGAAGGGATGAATGTGGACTGTTTGTCTATGATAACTGATCCGGGAATGAGAAGTAAGGTCCCGGGCCCACGTTACGTACCAGAGAGGGCAAAACTGGTTTAGTTGTCAAAAACTGGGGAAGGCAGGAATCTGCACCACTCCCTCGACAGATCTTGCAAATAAACGTAGACGGAGGTGAGGTAATTTGCGATCCTTAAGTTGGAGTTGAGCTTAAAAAAAATCGGCTTAGCAAGGAGACGACGGATGGATGGGGGAGAAAGATCACCCAGGAGTGACTTCATTGATGTAAACAAAGCACCGGGATCAAGCAGAGCAACACAATTCGTGAGTTACGGGGTAATTGGGTTAGCCCAGTGAGTGGTAGGGTAACACTACCTATCCATGGCATGCGGTCATTCCAAAGATTCTTGGATGTTGGGATGTTGGATGTTGACGTCGTTTTGCCCAGACCGAGCGGGCACCTGACTGCGCCAACCCTAACTATTTCATCAATGTAGTCAAGTTACTCGTCCCTGAATTCAAACGGCAAATGTGCATTTTGTGTGAGGACACATGTTAAAATGCTTCTCCTACAAAATAATTAATGTCTTCAACCGCCAAATCAGATATAGGCTGTGGAACGGATAATAACATGCTGAGGGGATATTTTTCATGAAAATTGCTCATTTTCTCATCCGGAAAAAACACAATGAAATTTTAGTGCAAAAGTCAAATTCTCCATAATAAAAAACAGTGAAAAATGAATTTATTTTAAATATACTCCTATCATAAGATTTCCTGTTATTTAGTCTATCTGAATCTACATAAAGCCTATATCTAAGATGTTTGATGAGGGTATTAGAAAATGATGTTTGCATCTCTATATGTGATTCTCGTAGTTGAAAGTTCAAAGGCCTGGGTTGCATTGGTCGGAATCTCCACTAGATTGCCGAATTCAATAACAGTGACGATTTCAAAGGGAAAACAATGGAAGCAGATAACTACATAGATAGAATTTAATATATATATATATATATATATATATATACGGAGTATATTTAATCTAAATTGACAGAATAAGAGCCAAAAGAAAAAGAAAAAGAAAAGAAAATCACAAAGATGTTTTCCCACCACTCACCTGCCACCGCCCAGATATGCTATCCGACGTCACCTTGCCCTCATTTTCCAGCTTCATCAATGCCTGGATCAGACCATGCGAGGCGTGCATGCGCATCTGATCTGCGATATCCGGATAAATAACTGAAACCAGCTCGTCTGGCGACATAGCGCGAGGTTTATACAATGCTCCTCCTGTACCTGGGTTGCCGCCGTCTAGACTTCCAAACTTCAACACTCGCAGTACCTCTTCCTCCCTCTGCCGTCGGTGCTCAATGTATTCGGTAATCTTAGCTTTGCAGTCTTCAATCACAGCTCCATGTCCAGGATATCCCCTGCTAGCACCAAGGTTACGCATCTTCTCCAATGTTGCAATGTACACAGCAAGGTCCTCGAAAACTGCAGTACCATGACCAAGGACGTCTGGATGAGCAACGCAATGGAAGATAAACATCAGCATATATATATATGTATATACAAAGGAAAAATCACACTCTTCATAGCAGAGCAGAGCAGGGCTGGGTTTGGTAGTCGAACGCCGGGAAAAGACTCACTATCACCCGTAAACAATGCATTCTCCTCTTCCAACAAAAACGTGACATGGTCCGTTGTATGACCAGGAGTATGTATTGTCCTCAGCGTCGCACCCTCCACCGTAAAAACCTGGCCGTCCTCAATATTCAACTCATCCCCTTCCCCATCGTATTTGCACACTTTAGCATTGGGACAAATCTCCAACAAATCCAGGACACCTCCAACATGATCTCGGTGCCAGTGCGTCAGGAGCGCTTGCTTCACAGTGGCCTTTTCGGCCTCCAGGACACCCCTTAGCGAGGCAGACCAGCTGGGTTTCCCTTCGCCTGTGTCTATCAGAAGACGGTCTCTGCCTTTGCCGATAAGATAGGTGTTTGTCCCTTTGTTTGGTGAAAATCGGGAGGGTTCATGTTAGCGTTTTCGGCATCCTTGAACAGGGCGTGATTCCTAATTTGATATCAGAATACCCATCTCTCACCTTGTAATGTGAACTGTAGCAAGCAAGGATAAAGTTAGCCCTTCTTTCAGATTCATAATAATATCAGAATTTCTGCATCAGTTCCAGGGGAGTTTTGAAGATATGCAAAATAAATACCTTCCCAGGATTCCCAGCCAACAGCCTGATCACTGATCCACTCAACCTCTCCACCTCCGGCAGCGAAATGCGTTGTGCGACTGCGGCCATCTCCATCCTCCTTTACCCCTTTTGCTGCTAATGGATTTCCCCTATCTTTTGCTTAAAATGTCGCATTGAACTTTTGTCGAAGAATGACAAATTTCTCGTTTCCCAAAACTGGGTTATTATTGTTTATTTTAAATGTATGTGTGTAACTATCCTCTGGAACAGACAACCAATTCCTAGTACAGAGTCTCACAGTAAATCGGCCCCTCTGACTGCGGCAAAAGAGTGGTTTCCAAAACCTCAATTAGAACCACGACAGGGCAGGGTGTTGTATGTGTATATAAAGTGTATAGTCACAAGTGATATCCACCTTCAGCTACTAACCTCAGCCTTAATCCCGAAATACAGGTACGGCACTTGGTGCACTTTCTGCCGAGTTTGGTCTAGAGTTTGGCTCTCACAACTGATTCTGTATAAAAGGGAGGTATGATGGATGTAATTTCCATCCACAGGAAACGATAGATAAAATAATCAAGTTCTCGTAAAGAGAAACAAGGAGAGATGATAGAGGATCAAAAAGAATTGTTTGTAAAACGTCCAGCTGTTAACCGGCGAGGAGATTCGATCTTCCGCCCAGAAAGATAAAAAGAGTCTGCAATACAACCGCCACTACCCGATTTTCATGTTCAGATCATACGGTAACTTACCCTCTAGACTCTTTCAGACGGCGCATTTTAGGCGTCCGAAGTCCACTAGTTAAAACCCCCACCCCGCAATTTCACACAACCGCAGGTGTATTAGATACACGTATCCGTACACATAAAGAACAAATACAATAGGATATCCCAACTCCAAACAACCGAGGAGGTTTTCCCGGCCGCCATATCCCCTTAAGCTCCCCAATCCCGAAACCCACATTCTGACACCAACATCCCTTTGGTTTAAAGTTCATCCTCTCGGATTCGATGCATCTCCATCAGCTAACTAAAAGATAAAGCAAAAGAAGAGTTAATGTTTTTTCATTGTATCTCGGGAGGAGAGGCGTCCACAGAAACGGCCCTCGGCAACATCTGGATTTAGGTGAAGTTGAAACTCCTTTAAAACTTTTACCGAGGCTATTTTGATGGCATGGTAAGTTATATCAGTAATAAGCTAGCTAAACAAAATGGGAGAGCATTGCAGGAGATCATGGAACGCTTTGAATCAATCTCTTTGCTTGGTGGTTTTTTTTATTTTGACCATTCGCAAATTTTGTGATTTGTAATGTAATAGATGAAATGATGATCTCTCCTTTTGCGATCAAAAACGGCCTTCCCTCTCGTTTAACGGAGAAAGATATCAGCTTACTGAAAACAATAATAATACTGACAGGCTCGAGAGAGAGCAAAAGAAACCATGTGTAAAGAGCAAGATCAATGAAAAAGACACGGGAATACAGTAGCTGATTTACGTAGATATATACACATATGACAAAGGAAAAAGGAGAAAAGGTGTGGATTTAATTTCGTCGAGCAAAAGGAGACAAGGGAAAGCAATCTCTACAAAACGTTAGGGAAATAAGGCTTCAGTTGATACATGCAAGAGGTAGTTCTTAAAAAAGGAAGATGAAAAATGATAAGAAAAAGAAGAAGAAAAAAAGGTAGAAAGGGGTTTATCAAATCGCCAATTTTAAAAACTTTTCCCCCAACCTCCCACCTTTTCGAGGCACCCGTGGCGCTCAAAATCGTCCCCTCGATTCAAACTTGCATCGATCGATAGCACAAGTTAGCTGTCCGTGGCAGCATGCAGATGCAGGAGTGAACAAGGAGTGTCCTACGACACCTCTCCATCGTGCATGCAGTGGCGGAGAAAATGCTCCCCTTGTTCCTGCATTTGCGATTATCTTCTTCTTTGCTCATAGCGGTTCCACCACTCCCACACACAAAGGTCCACATGCCCAGAGTCATCCGTTTCGATGCGTTTTACAGAAAGACACAAAACATATGAACATTATTCATACATTTACGAAAAGGAAAACAAGATACCACCCCTAACTTTCCTTTCAATCTGTATGTCCTTCAATCCTTTTTTTTTTATTTTATATTTTTATTTTTATTTTTTTTTAAAAAAATAAAAATAAAAATAAAAATAGTCTTTTGCTTCGTACGCCCCCGATAATCTTGGCCCGAAACAAATCTAAGACGCACGTTGCTTGGCCATGGTGTTCAGGGCGCTTCCATCCTTGAACCACTGGAGCTGTGGCTCGTTGAAGGTGTGGGAGAGGGAGATATCGAATGACTTGCCGTTCTTGGGGTGGACGCGGAGGGTGATGGGCTTGCCAACGGCGAGCTCGGTGCACATCAGGTCAACGGTGTCATCGGGCCGGATGCGGTCGTAGTCGGCTGGGTCAGTGAAGGTAAGAGGAAGCATACCCTGCTTCTTCAAGTTGGTTTCGTGCTGTAAGAAATGGGGGGTTGGATGTTAGTAGCATGTACAGCATTGCTTCATTCTTGACGAGGAAAACTTACGATACGGGCAAAGCTTCGGGTGATAATGGCGAGACCGCCAAGATGTCTGGGCTCGAGGGCAGCGTGTTCTCGGGAGCTTCCTTCGCCGTAGTTCCAGTCACCAATGACGACCCACTTGATTCCTCTGGCCTTGTAATCACGGGCTGTTGCGGGTACCGGGCCATATTCGCCGGTCTTGAAGTTCTTGACCTTGTTGGCCTCGCCGTTCTCAGCGTTAATGGCACCAATCAACATGTTGTTGGAGATGTTGTCGAGGTGGCCACGGTATTTCAACCAGGGCCCAGCCACTATACGGAAACTGTTAGTATGACAAAAAGCGAGACGTAGAAAACTGGGAAGGGCTTTGCCGCCTTACTGGAGATGTGATCAGTGGTGGTTTTGCCTTGAGCCTTGATCAAGATTGGGATCCCGAGAGCATCCTTTCCATCCCATGGCTGAAAAGCCTTAAGGATCTGGAGACGGTCACTAGTGGGGGAGACAGCAACGGAAATGGAAGATCGGTCCTTTGGTGGGGCCTGGTAGGTGTCACGGCCTGGGTCATATCCGTTGGCCGGAAGTCCAGCACCAGTCGGCTCCTTGAGCTTGAACTCCTTGCCATCCTTGTCTTTGAGGGTGTCGGTCAAGGGGTTGAAGTTCAGGGTTCCGGCGATAGTCATTGCGACAACGAGATCAGGAGAGGTGACGAAGGCGTGGGTAGCAGGGTTGGCATCGTTACGTCCAGTGAAGTTTCGGTTGTAGGAAGAGACGATGGAGTTAGCCTCGCCCTTCTTCACATCCCGACGATCCCACTGTCCAATGCAAGGACCGCAAGCATTGGCAAGGATGACACCGCCGAATTCCTCAAGGGTCTTAAGCTGACCATCCCGCTCAATGGTTGCGCGGATCTGCTCAGAACCAGGGGTAACGGTGAAGAGAGACTTGGCCTTGATGCCGTGGTCCAGAGCATCCCGGGCGATAGAAGCGGCTCGGGACATGTCCTCATAGGAGGAGTTGGTGCAAGAACCAATCAAGCCGACCTTCAGTTCCTCTGGCCAGCCGTTTTCCTTGACAGCATCCTTGAACTTGGAGATGGGGGTTGCCAAATCGGGGGTGAATGGGCCGTTGATATGGGGTTCAAGTTCAGACAAGTTGATCTCGATCAATTGATCGTATTCAGCGCCTTCGTCCTCGCGGAGGCTGTGGGCATAAGATCTGGCAAAGTCACCAATGGCCTGGCGTTTGGTGGCCTTGAGGTAGTCGTACATGCGGTCGTTGAAGGGGAAGACGGAAGTGGTAGCGCCGATTTCAGCACCCATGTTACAGATGGTGCCCATACCAGTGCAAGAGAGAGAGTTGACACCAGGTCCGTGGTACTCGATAATAGCACCAGTACCACCCTTGACAGTGAGGATTCCAGCGACCTTCAAGATGATATCTACAGCGTATTCATTAGTGAGAGTTTTCAAGACGCTGCAAAGGTCAGTTAACAAGAGGGCACCTTACCCTTGGGAGAGGTCCATCCCGACAATTTACCCGTGAGTCTCACACCAATGACTTTGGGAGCTTTCAATTCCCAGGGGAGACCAGCCATGACGTCGACGGCGTCAGCACCGCCAACACCAATCGCAGCCATACCAAGACCACCACCGTTGGGGGTATGGGAGTCAGTTCCAATCATTAGACCTCCGGGGAAAGCATAGTTTTCGAGGAGAATCTGATGGATAATACCGGAACCGGGTTTCCAGAATCCAATGTTATATTTAGCGCAGGATGTGGAGAGAAAGTCGTATACTTCCTTGTTGATCTCGTTAGCTCTGGCAAGATCTTTCTCGCCACCAACCTGAGCCTCGATCAAGTGGTCGCAGTGGACACTGGCAGGAGTAGCAACAGAGGGCATTCCAGCGGACATAAACTGAAGAATGGCCATCTGGGCAGTGGCGTCTTGACAAGCCACACGGTCTGGCCGCAACTTGAGATATGATTTTCCGCGGTGGATATCTTGTTCATGAGGATCGTCAAGGTGAGAGTACATGATCTTCTCAGCGTACGTTAAGGGGCGGTTCAGTCTGCTTCGGACAATATCTAGGTTTTCTGCCATCTTCCTATAGGGAGTAAGTAAAGGCGTGTTAGCAGCTGTCTGTTGCACAGTGCACGGCAGCTCCATGTTCCCCCGTTGAGTGCAGGGATCACCGAAAGTTAATTGGCACATTCATTTCAGAGTACATTTATTAACTTTCGTGAGTCATTCCCGTGAAACAAGATGAATCTCCTGCATAAAGGAATGAAGGAAAATGCCATACTTGTAGTTGATGTAGTTGCCCTGTTGAAATATTGTAAGCGATTGTGAATCCCACAGACAAGGGGACTAAACCCGCTGCCCCGAAGCTCCCCGATTTAGATCTACTGGCCGGGAAAATCGCACCTTCTCATAATTGCACATCTCGACCTTTTTGTCGAGAGGATTCTCGCTGACAGTTGCCAGGCTCCGAGCACCCAGAAGCTATTCGAGGAGAAGAGTCAGCAAGCGACATCTAAGCCTATGTGGAGTGGCCGAAATCGTTGGGACGTTATTTAGTGCTTTTTTGGGACACCGGTAACACATACGTTACGAGATTTGGATGCCTAAACAGGGAATACGTTAGCTACGCTGAAGAACTAATGAATATGTGAGATGCTAAAATGTAGTCAAGCAAGAATTGCAGCGGACAAATCACTCACCAGCGCACCCACGCGGGCAAACCGAGTGGTCGCGAACATTGTGGCTGCTGCTCTCTGAGCACACTGAACTATGGAGCTATACGCTGGCACATCCAACGTCGAGGAAAGTCAAGCAACTCGACGAAGGCCGTGAGAGGGGAATTAGAAGATGATTAGGAAGATGGAAGGGGGGAAATATGAGGGAGAGAAGGAAGACGAGAGGAAGAGGAGAAGGAAATCCAAAGCAAGAAAAAACAAGCCCCAAGCTGCTTTATTACACGATATTGCGAGAGAAAGCCGCACTGGGCGGGATACAGGCGAAGTGCAGTACTGCGCTAGTACGGTTACGCTGTTTTACGATTACTAGGCGTTAGTAATATTACACTACTCTTCCCCCAAGGGCTCTCCCTCGTAGCCTTCACGGTCACACAAAAAGACACACGACCTTCCCTTCCGGCTCTCGGCTGTGTACCGACCCAGTCTTGAGAGGAACCAAAACCATACGGTACAGCACCACAGCCCCACGAGAACCCATTCGTGCTAGATCCATTTATCTCCCACGGCAGCAAATCTGATTTGTGGAGCGCCAACCAGCAAGTGAAAAAAAAAAAAAAAATTTGTGACCTGCAGACCAGCAATGCAAATCCCAGCACTGTGACTGGCTACCCATTTCCTCCCGTCCGCAGGCTTCGGCTGGCAAAAATTTTATAGGCAAGGGCCGTTAACGGGCTGCGAATACTAGAAGCCAGCCACAACCAATCACCAGCTGTACATTTACCATCTGATGTGCAGGTTTGCTTACAGATGACGATATTCTGACGAAGGGGAGAGTTGAAAGAAGTTTCAATCTTCTCTTTGCTCTAACTTCGGAATAGTATATTTATGAAGCTGCTCACCCTACCTACCCTTCTAGGAGTGGGAATTGCTGAAAATTTGCGAGTTGACAAGGACGCACCAAATCACTTCATTTCATTTCTACCAATACCAACAGGGTACCTATGCTGGCGTGTAATTTTGGCGTTTCATGTTTGATAAGGGAACCAAGATGCCGAGGCTGAGGAAAAACGTCTCATCGACATAACGAAGTTTTGGTGAGACTAAGTTTGGCGGCTGGTTTAATGTTTCCTCTTTCACTCGGAGGAAAGTTTAAGCTAGCCGGTACCAATTAGGAATAGCGCATCGATCAGCCAAGCCGCCGACAATTTCAAAAGGTAGGTAAAGGAGTATTTTGATATACATCTGTCAAACGCTACAGTGAACTTTTCACTGCTTGTTTCTGCTTCAATAAATACCCGCCTGGCAATCCAGGCTTCTTAAACATGGGCGCTACCAGAAGAATAAAAACCAAGCGGCGGACAAGGTACGTCAATCAAATATCACAAAATATCCATAACAGTCCATCAAAATCGAGATCCATTGAAAGACCCTGCATGAGCATGGTGAATAAATATATATATATATATGTCTGACGTAACCCGCTTATACATACAGAGACTATGACCAAGTCTGCGCAGACATTGGCTCCTCCAAACATCTTACCCAATACAAGCGAACCAAAACCGCAGAGGACCTTCCGGGTCTAGGCAGGCATTACTGCGTCGAGTGTGCGAAGTGGTTTGAAAGTGATTACAATCTGGTGGCTCATCGGAGGGGGAAGAATCACAAGCGAAGGTGCGCTTAAATGTTTTTTGTTTGGGCATAAGTGAGATACATGGTGAGAAGGGGGGGAGGGGGGGGAGGGGGGGGGGGGGTTGATCAGAAGAACTAAACTAACGGGGGAGGCATGGAATGGGGAAATGCGCTAGGCTCCGTATCTTGAAGGAAGAACCACATTCGCAGAAGATTGCGGAAGCTGCTATTGGATTGGGGACGGATAATTGGACGCGGGAGGGGAATGCTAAGGAGGACAATGTGGATGCGGAGATTGTCGAATGAATATTTTCACCATTCTCTCCGTTATGATAAAAGCTTTAAAAGCTTGGAATGAATGGTTCTACGATATCTTTGGCGATATTCGGTATTTGGATTAGGCGTTTGGGTCTTTCACAGATTGAGTCGGTTTTTACACTCATCGGCCAAGTTTGGGTCATTTCTCGATGAAGGGTTGGTTTGGTCCCCCCTTAGGATTGCTGCGAAATTGTGACCGAGGAAGTCATACACACAAATTCACTCTTTTCTCTATGCCGACGAATAACGTTGTTCAGCTGATTCCAAACACATGTCCTGGATACGTATTTATGTGCAAAAATCAAAGGATTTACATAGAAACTATTCCACGAAAGGAGGCAATAATATCTCCTTTCCTTATTCCATCAGCTGTGCATTGGCGGTCGGTTGAGGAACTTCATGATCCATTCGTACGTCGCCCACTGCAATTAATTAGCATTTAGCGTACTGGCTGCTCCCGGACTGCAAAAAAGCAAATGAGCAGATGATCATCACATACCTGTACAGCATTCACTATAAAGGCTCGCAAACTGCACACCCCTAATCCACGATAGAATATCTTAAGGCCTTCCGTACGATATGCTTGCTTCGCTATTCCAAAAGTGCCCAATATCTGTCCATCACTACTGGTAGAAGTCCGCAATAGCATTTGCCTTTCAGGTGGGATCCCAGGGAGCAGCATCCCGGGTGACCCTTGTGCCTGAAGACGTGTCTTGATAACATCCAGCGGGAATATAGATGCCCATGTGACAATGCCAGCAATTCCGCCACATAAAAGGATCTTCGCCGCTGCTTGCTGGTAGCTTTCATCTGGAGTCGTCATGAGGCGTTTGCATAACTCGTAGGACCAGAAACTATATTCGATTTAGCAGATGACAGGAACTAATATCCCAAACATGGGTTTGAAAGGCCGCCAGAAGGGAAATTGTAATATCTTTTGCGTTTCATACTAGAATCCATATCCCACGGAGTCTCGGACACTTGTAACACCGCCCCCATAGTATAGTCCCCTAAACCTTCTCCTTCTCCAGATATCCTTCGTCACAGTCCATGATGATACCGATTGGTGTGAAGCAAGCTGGGCACGACATTTTACCAACTCCGTTGGGGAGGAGATGACCCAGCTCGCAAGCCCTCCCACAGCACCGGCAATCCATATCTGATACAGAGGGACGCCTACGGGGTCGGTCGGATCGGGTACAGGATGCGAGGCAATATTCATCAAAGTCCGATTGTAGGCAACGAAGAGGATAGCATTGAGGGCACCGTATCCGAGTATGGGAGCCGTTGCACCTGTAAAGAGGGAAAATGTGCGATTAGTTTACTTGCATCAGCTGCTAGCGGATGGGTTGACAGTATCGAACCTCGAACAAGTGAAGATGAAGTATCAAAATGGCTGCTCAAAGCCTGCGGAGATCTAAGTGATCCGAGAGCAGCTTGCCCCGCCTGCAGACGGGTTTTGACTAGGTCAAGGGGATTCCCAATAACGATGCCAATGGCTCCGCTGAGGTAGCCAGCCCAGAAGTCATTGGACATGGAGTCGTGGCCCGCCTACCTCGAGGCCCTCGAGGTTGTTGTGTCCATGAAGGTGTCTCGCACTGAGTCGGAGGGGAAGTAAATGTTTAAATTCATCGGGACAAGGGTCATGCATGTGTCTTCATGGGGGAAAGCTTTCTGCCCGGCAAGCCCAAACCAAATCTCCACACAACGACAACGCGCAATCAAATATTAAATACCGCCCATGCTACAATGGCTTCGAGTGCTTGATAAAACGGAATCCCGTTTAAATTGCTATGAACCCACATGACACCAGTCAGCAAATACTTATTCATCCATAAGACCTCATTCACTCCCAAGTCGGACAAGGTCATGTGATTTCGTGGCTATTTGGCGATTCGTTCTAAACACGAAGGTAACTAACTAGTGAGTAACTTGTTACTCAAACATTGGACGCGTTCCCTTGAGGAATTGATTGCCTACAATATCGAGTCACCAAGTCACGTTGCTTTCATCACTCCATCCACGTTGACAAATCTTCACGGCAGACTTTTATCATTCGCTTCAGGCTTCAGGCTTCAGGCTATATATAGTCCAATGTATTCCTCCCATTTAACTTAAAATGATTTTGATGGTACACATTTCTAACCCCTGAATAGGCATCGGCCCCGACCCAAAACTTCTGACGCCATTGTACCGAAACCTTCAGCTGACTCGCTCAACAAACCGTTCAAATGCCCTAGAACAGCGTTACACACCCGCGCCTCTGATAAACCGGTACGAAAAAGACGAAAGGTTAATTACGCTGGAGCGGACGGAAATGCAGAGGATGGAGAGAAGCTATGGACAAACGAAGAGCGTTTGGCCCTCGCCAACCGCGATGCAAATAGATTCCCCGTATTCAAAGTCAAGGATAAGGACCAGATATTCAAGCAGCGATTTTCGATTCCACTGATAAACAAAAACTCCGGTGCATACAATCCGAATCGCCCCGCGCCCATCCTTGGGATGCGGAGTGGAACTACGTTCATCGTTAAACCGCTGCATGATCCTAGCGGAGAATTTGCAATTGTGCTTTACGATCCTACGATTGATGATAAACCTGCGAATCGTGATGGGGGGGGGAGTGGGAAGCAAGCGGAAAACCCGGATATACCTAAGTTGGATGCGCCTTTGGTGCACAAGAGTTTGGCGGATATCCTTGGGATCAAAAAGAAGGTTGAAACGCGTCCGAGGATTCCAGTTGTTATCGATCCTAGACTTGCGAAAGTATTACGTCCGCATCAAGTGGAGGGTGTGAAGGTATGGTGGTTATTTTAATTCTCGATTCGGAATAAGGCCGCGCACTGACATTTACGGAAGTTTCTCTATCGCTGTACAACGGGCATGATTGACCCGAAGGCAAATGGGTGCATTATGGCAGATGAAATGGGATTGGGGAAAACGGTATGACTACAGCAGTTGGTTTCTTCATGACACATGCCTACTAATGACATTTCATATTAGCTCCAATGTATCACTTTGCTATGGACTCTGCTTAAACAATCCCCAGAGGCAGGTAAAACAACCATTCAGAAGTGTGTGATTGCCTGCCCATCGACCCTCGTGAAGAATTGGGCAAATGAACTTGGTACGTTGAGGTATCCTACATATGTAGCCTCTTACGCTGACATTTTGCAGTCAAATGGTTGGGTAAAGACGCAGTAACCCCTTTCGTTGTTGATGGCAAAGCGACTAAAGCGGAACTTACATCCCAACTCCGACAATGGGCTATTTCATCCGGACGAGCAGTTGTCCGACCGGTGCTGATCGTTTCTTATGAAACACTGAGACTGAATGTTGATGAAATTAAAGACACCCAAATCGGATTACTCTTATGTGATGAAGGTCACCGACTCAAAAATGGTGACAGTCAAACATTTACTGCTCTAAATAGCTTAAATGTCGACCGTCGAGTGATCCTCTCCGGAACTCCAATTCAGAACGACTTGTCTGAATACTTCTCTCTGTTGAATTTTGCCAATCCCAACATCCTTGGCACCCGAAGCGAATTTCATAAAAAATTTGAAATGCCAATCCTCCGTGGTCGAGATGCTGATGGAACGGATGAGGATCGGAAGAAGGGCGATGAAACCGTCGCCGAACTTTTGGCCATTGTCAACAAATTCATTATTCGACGGACCAACGACATTCTGTCCAAGTACTTGCCTGTCAAGTACGAGCATGTGGTGTTTTGCGGGTTGGCTCCGTTTCAAACAGACTTGTATAATTATTTTATTCAAAGCCCTGATATCAAGAGTTTACTTCGAGGTAAAGGAAGTCAGCCCCTAAAAGCTATAGGCATCTTGAAAAAGCTTTGCAACCACCCGGATCTCCTGAACTTGGGCGCCGATCTTCCCGGATGTGAGCAGTTTTTCCCAGACGACTATATCCCTATAGAGTCCCGTGGGCGGGATCGTGATGTGAGATCTTGGTATTCTGGTAAAATGATGGTCTTGGATCGCATGCTTGCTCGAATTCGACAAGATACCAATGACAAGATTGTTTTGATCAGTAATTACACGCAAACTCTTGATCTTTTTGAACGACTCTGCCGGTCACGTCAATATGGATGTCTGCGATTGGATGGCTCGATGAATGTGACCAAGAGACAAAAGTTGGTTGATAAATTTAACGACCCTGAAGGGGAGGAATTTGTCTTTTTGCTAAGTAGTAAGGCAGGCGGGTGCGGCATCAACTTAATTGGGGCCAATCGCCTGGTCTTGTTCGATCCTGACTGGAACCCGGCCGCAGATCAACAGGCCCTCGCTCGAGTGTGGCGTGATGGACAGAAGAAAGACTGTTTCGTTTACCGATTCATCGCAACGGGTACCATCGAGGAAAAGATATTCCAGAGACAATCTCACAAGCAATCATTGTCTTCGTGCGTCGTTGACTCTGCTGAGGATGTCGAACGCCATTTCAGTCTTGATTCCCTTCGAGAACTATTCCAGTTCAAACCAGGGACCCGGAGCGATACGCATGACACGTTCAAGTGCAAGCGATGTGGACCCGATGGAACCCAGCATATAAAAGCGCCCGCTATGCTGTATGGAGACACGAGCTCGTGGAATCATTTCGTCAATGCCGGGGAGAAAGGACCCCTGGGCAAAATCCAAGATTTGTTATTAAGACAGGAAGCCTCTGAGCGCGATGTGACGGCCGTATTCCAGTATATCAGCCATTGAGCATAATCCTATTTCTTCTTTTTGTTTGCAGGAGTTTGGGGTTCAGATTATCGGCGTTGCATATATTTTTGAAAACTGTACCACAGTAGAGCTAGAGCCTAGATGTTATATAGAGTCCGTTGAGCCGTCTCCATCCACATGAGCTGCTCAGATAATTAAGAGATGTTCCAAAGTTGAAAGTCACAGATGTTGTTCCCTGCTTTAATGAATTAAGCATTGGGTCAATTGAATACGGGATTATTTTGGTGAGCCAAGCCATTGCACTGTATTAGGCTTAGCGTATCTGGGAGCACTTCATGGTACGTCACGGGCCGTTGAATAGATTCCAACTGTGAACTCTCAATCAAGCCTGCCCGTCAACTTTGCTTCCTCCACGAATATATGCCACAAAGGTGTCCTTGGCTGTGCCTTCATGGAGCATTATTTCTTTACGGGTATAATGCTAACGAGACTGGATACCCCTACGCTTTGACCTGTGCCTGAAATCATCAAAAGTGAAGCTTGCAGGGTTCTTCAATCACGGTTTCGCTGCTACTCCACCGACATGATTCCTGCCCGAGCCTGATCCCATTTCTCTATTCAAAAGGCTGCTTGGCTCCCTGTAAACAGTACCCGTTATGGATCCATCTGTTCAAAGGCTTCTGAGCGACAAGCTATACGATAAACGGAAACAAGGTGCTTTGGAGTGAGCTCTCAATCCCGGCCCTTAGCTTTTCCGCCCGAAAACCCCACAGCTAACCTATGGTCACTTGTCGAATGCTAGACTCGAAAAAACCATACGTGATTCTCTTGCGAAAGGTGAACCTGGCAAGATAAAAAGCATCGTCGACCAGCTGTGTCACGAATATGCATATGCCGTCCACCAACCTCACACACGAAACGGCGGATTAATTGGTCTAGCGGCGGCCTCCATAGCGCTTGGTACGGTGAGTTGTGTGAACGATGGGTGCTTCTATTTTCGAAATGGCATGAAAACTCAGTATTACGTCTTCAGGATGAAGTTGCTCCCTTCCTCTACGAAATCGTTCCTCCCGTCCTTGCCTGTTTTACAGATCAAGATGCACGCGTTCGTTACTACGCATGCGAAAGCATGTATAACATTGCGAAGGTGGCTAAGGGAGAACTGCTACTATTTTTCAATGATATTTTCGATGCATTGTGCAAGGTATGCTGGAAATAAATCATGGCATGCAAGAAATTGAATGTTCAAGCGCTAATATAGTTTTCCTATTACCAGCTTGCTTCTGACTCGGAACTGTCAGTGAAGAACGGAGCAGAACTCCTCGATCGGCTCGTGAAAGACATAGTTTCTGAATCAGCAGCCTCATACGTCTCCATTTTACAAGCACCCAAGAAAGTTCATAGTGAATCAGGGATAGATGGGGTTGATGAGTCGGAGGAAATCCCAAATCCACCTACAGCGTTTTCGCTTGCAAATTTTATCCCTCTCCTCAAGGAGCGCATACATGTCATCAATCCATTCACACGCACCTTTCTAGTTTCATGGCTAACGCTGTTGGATACGATACCCGATTTGGAGCTTGTGCATTATTTGCCCGCCTTTTTAGGAGGCTTGTTCAGGTTTCTCAGTGACCCTAATAGGGATGTTCATACCATAACTCAAGGTGCTCTGGAAACGTTTCTTAGTGAGATTAAGAAGATTGCTTGTATAAAAAAGGGGATCGCATACAGCCGTCGTGACCAGGAAAGCGGGAACAATAAACAATCTTCTACAAACTATAGTATGAGTGGTAGCTCTAGTACGAGTGATGCCAAGGACGCCAGTGACAATGCTATTGCGGATTCCGATCCTGGGGCCGTTAACGATGAAGATGTCAATGTTTACGGGGATTACGTTCCCGGGCAGGATGTTCATGTAGATCATCCTAAGATTCTAGAGATCCTAGTTGGCTTTGTGGACACATCCTTTGGTACGCTATCATTTTATACGCGATATATCACACATATAATATAGTGTTTTCGTACACTATCTGCTAACAGCAATGCAGAGGAGGAAATCCAGTTAACGGCGCTGCGATGGATAGATAGCTTTTTTGAAATAAGCCCAGAGGACATACTTCAGTATGTCCCCCGGCTTCTCTCAAAAGTGCTACCCGCGCTTTCGAGTGGTTCAAATCAAGTTCGCGAGGCTGCTAACCGAGTTAATACGTCACTTATGCAATATATCGTCTCCCTCACCGATGATAGTGGCATTGATGAAACTCAGTTAGCTCCACCCTCGAGGTTGCCTACCGCACCAGTTAAGGAGGCGGATGGCCGAAGGTCATCAACTCCTACTGGAAAACCACGCTCTGTCTCTAATGATGCCAACGCTACAAAGCCACTTCCATCTCCTCCGATATCTAGGGCAGCATTGGCTCCACGAAGCAATGGAGATGCAACACCAATGCCTTCTCCAGACTTAGATTATGCCGCAGCTGTCAATGCGTTAACTCTCCAGTTTCTCAACGAAAACGAGGCTACAAGAGTTGCATCGTTGGCTTGGCTTATTATGCTTCACAGAAAGGCGCCGAGGAAAGTTCTTGCGTTCCACGACGGAACGTTTCCTGCTCTCCTTAAGACTCTGTCGGATCCATCTGAAGCGGTTGTTACACGAGATCTCCAACTTCTCTCTCAGATCTCGAGAAATAGCGAAGATAGCTATTTCACGTCGTTTATGGTGAACTTACTTCAGCTCTTTTCCACCGATCGAAAACTTCTCGAAATACGTGGCAACCTTATTATCAGACAGCTCTGTGTTAATCTAAGCCCTGAACGGATTTACAGAACGTTGGCGGATTGTCTCGAAAAGGAGGAGGTAAGTTATGTCTTACGTTTTCGCTGGTTTCTGATAAAATGTGGGCTGACTGTACATGTAGGACATTGAATTTGCTAGTATTATGGTGCAGAATTTGAATAATAACCTTATTACTGCTCCTGAACTTGCAGATATGAGAAAGAGATTGCGAAACCTTGAATCTAAGGTAAACATTATCTCCCCAAAAAAACTTCTTATGTCTTTCCTGATGTGGTGCTAGGATGGTCAAATGTTTTTCGTAGCCTTGTTTAGATCATGGTGTCACAATGCCGTTGCTACCTTTTCTCTGTGCCTCCTGGCCCAAGCATACGAACAAGCATATAATCTTCTGCAAATTTTGTAAGTTCCCCTCTACCCCATTCACATGTGGTTATCATAAAACTGATCAAATATCATGCAGCGCGGAGTTAGAAATGACTGTCAATATGTTGATCCAAATCGACAAACTTGTTCAGTTACTAGAATCGCCAGTTTTCACCTGTTAGTGCTTTATCTCAACGGTTATATTCCTATCAGGAAGTCCGCACACGAACTGACCTCCTTCAATCGTAGACCTCCGCCTCCAGCTTCTAGAGCCGGAGAGATATCCTTACTTATATAAATGTCTTTATGGCGTGCTCATGTTGCTTCCCCAAAAGCTCCGCGTTTGCTGCACTCAAGAACCGCCTTAACAGCGTGAGCAATATTGGGTTACTACACCCAGCTGCTCGAGGGTATGTTTCTGCTAAAGTCTAGATATTTTCTCTTACTTCTTGCATTATGTGTTTCACATCAGCCTCTAACCATCCACAAGTCCCGCAAACGCTCCAGGGATTCCTTCGTCCTACGAACGACCGGGAGGCAGATTGAAATCTCGCGAAGATATTCGATGGGGCGATCTGCTCGAAAAGTTCAAATTCGTTCAGGAACGGTCCAGACGTTCAGGGCGAGCGTCATCTCGGCAACTAGTCTCTGGCGGAGATAACGCCCCCCACTCATCAATTGCTGCGGCAGTTGCGGCAGCCACTGCGGCAGGTCAAAATGGCGGCAGGGAGAGAGCTGCAGCAGATTCCCATCGTTTAGGGGCTGCAGGCACTGGAGGAACTGGTGGTGGAATCGCCCATTCGACACGACAAAGCTTTGCGATGAATGACTCTGGTGCCGGCGGAGCGCAAAAGTCACCCAAGACGAGATCCACGCTTGGAAACTTTGGCCGATTAAGCGGGATCGGACAAAGGAAGGCGAAACGATGAACCTTAGATATAGGGCGATTGATTGTATTGATTATAATAATGATGGAAGATTATGGGGGTTAAATACGGGTTTGTTTTTATTTCTTTCCAGCTATTGCTATAGCATGTATTTCCCTTTTTAACATAAATTTCTATCCGGCCTACGTATTCCTTGTCGTATCTTGAGCTGTCTTTTTCCTGCTTTCCTGCTTTCATTAAACCCGTAGCTCACTTTTCAATGCTACAATGCGACATGAATGGAAGGCAGGCAAGCAATATGTTCCACACCCAGTTATCTGTTAACATTGGTCAAATGAGTCTCCATTCCATCCACCGTCTCCCTTCTGTGTTACGATTTTTCCTCGTTTGCCGGCACATGAAAGCTATTAACTGCACGATTTGGTTAAAACTGTCAACACCCCAAACCCAAAGGATACACTAACGTTGGATTGATGAAGGGAAAGATGATCCTGTGCTCAAACTCTGTGTAGAGGATTGGTGTCATATCCGGCACCTACATGTTCCGAAGTTCCATATCAGCTTCACCGTATTTAGTCTCATCTACTCTTATTTGAGATCCGCAACCTACATTACCTAGTTATACCACGAATCAAAACCCACCATGACTCCAATAGATCCGAGTGAGAAGAAAATGTTTGCTCTGTCTGATGCTACTACCGTGCTTAGCTTTTCAATAATTAATTTTTTGATAATCTGATTACTATAACCCCGTTTCGGACAATTGGAAAGCTTATGCTCTCACGCACAGTAAATGAGAACAGAGGGGGAAGAATGGACATGGCATATCTTGATTGCTGAATGGAGAAGGGCAATGTGCAGTAGTTTACACCAACCATATTTTGTGAGTTGAAATTGTTACCTCAGGGGTAGCAACTATTACCATCTGCAGATGTGCTTCAAGTTCAAGGTCACTGTGCCGATATTCGTTAACAAGATACTGTTCTTTAACAGTTCTTTTGCAGAGAAATGCTGCAGTCGCAGCACCTTGCAGGATCCAGCCATGTCACTTATAATACTACGAGCGGTTTATATCCCGCGGCGGCATCACTTTGAATGCTCGATAGGTCCACTGGATCGGTACTACTTTTCGTGCTACCTTCAAAACTGTACACAGTTCTCAAGGGGTTTATTTATGTATCTACTTCTGTTCTGTACAAATTCTCCAAGTCATTGATATATGAATACGTGGATGGGCTAGATACTTTCTCGAAGGAACTCACGAAGCACGAGACGAGGGAGGAAACCTCTAGAAGCGAGTGGTAAAATGTAGGTGTGTATGTATAGATATTATTCCGCATCTAAAAAAAGGCTTTGGGAAATGGGAGAAATGGTCAAAGTAAGACGGGGCCTATGCATGGTTATGTAGAGAAAGGATCAAACGAGGGGGGAAAGAAACTAAAAACACGTAATAAATACAATACTAAAGAACAGAGAAAACTCAGTTGCAAATCGTATAGTTATAAAGGATGTGCTTAGAATTAGACATGAGGAGGGCGATTAATTCCAAAATGCCAATTTCGATGGATAACAGTGTGGTACAATGGAAGATGGAAGAGGGTGGGGGATAAGAAGACGTCACGAAATAGAAGTGTGCCGTCCATTTTAAGCGTCGAGATATATCAAAAGCAAGATTTCGATGCCTTTGGTGTCGGTCCCCAGGGGCAAACGGGAGTACGGGCACTTGTGGGATATGTGTAAACACCGGGGCACCTCCTATTTGACGAAGAAACTCCTCACAAAGAACTTGAAATGATGTTGCTAAACGAAATGGGAATCATTAGGGATGCTCATTTCCTGGGGCGGGGTGGAGTAGGTGCAAGGGAACCCTTTCTCTCGTTGCTGCACCTGCTCGATGAGACAGACATGCGGATAGTTTGGTATTTGTTTGTGTTTTGGTAAAGAGAATGTAATGTGTGGTCTTTTAGTTTTCTTCCCTTCTCGTCGTTCATATTTCAATATCGCTCTATAAAACAACCTGCATCACGCATATCGACGATGCTTTCTTCCATGTCCAGGCCAGGTCCCCGACGGCCGCCATGAAGTCCCCGTCGAATGTTTGACTACCGTCGGGCCGGACGTTGCGGTCGACGAATATGCACTGCCGGTATTGTTTGCGTAAATGTATTCACCGTTGACGTATTGGGCCCCTGTGGTGAAGGTGCTGCGATTCTTGCGCCTAGCATACCGTTGTTCAAGTCGGTAGAGCTCCAGTTCTAAAAGATGAGTTAGCATGGCGGGGAAAAAGGACGACAGTGATGTATGTCACAAGGCCAAAAAGGGAGGACGCGAAGGCTCCGTTCTGTGATGCCTCTAAAGAGGATTGAAATTTTTGGAGAGGTGAGGGAAGAATCACACGTACTTGCTTGTAATTTTTCAATGATACCCATTGTGTGAACGAAAAAGGGATGTATGTGATGTTGCTTTCAAGTGGATCTATCCGCGTTTCTCATTAAAACCGAAAGTGTCTGCAATCCGTCCCAGCCTGGCTGATCTATATATATCAGGGCTGTGGCTGGGGGGGTCGAATGAGTTCAACAGTTCCGTTGCTTTTCGCGGTGTAGAATTTCCACTTGACGTTCAAAGGCGTATTCGGGCTCTCAATAGCTGGGGAATTAAAACTACAATCGTTGTCTGATGTTTAACAACGATATAAGAATTAGCCAGCAGGAGGTTGCCACCTGTTCTCGGACAAAGACCGGAAATCTTTCGATGTTATGATGTTTCGCGATTTTCCGGTAGCTTCGAGGTTAGTTAATCGGGACGCCTCCGCTGGTTGATAACAACCACAACCGCCTCTTAAAAAATTCCCCAGCTCACAGGAAATGCGTAAAAATAGTAGATAGAGCCTTGCCAAAGTGAAGAATTGGAGATCCAAAATCGGCTTTAATTGGTATTAATGAGCATGGTGTTGAATATTGGCTGTATGTGTATAAATTGACCTGCTCCATCCAGGCTCATAATCAGCTGGGGAGCTCCCATGTCTGACAGAAGTCAAATAATTAAAGAATACAACATAGTTCTGTCTCCATGTAGAACGTACGGCAGAGCAACCGTCGTCGTTAACTATTGAAAGCAGAGAGAAAATTGGAGATGGCACGAACCTGTTTGGATGGCGGGGGGGGGTGGTGGGGGGGGGGGGAATATGTGAACGAGTAACAAAACGGCAAGGGTGTGGCTTCGGTGGGAGCGAAAATAAATGTGGTCTTGGTCTCACAGATCCATTGGCGTCGAACAGGAGAGCAAAGGTGAGTGAAGAGGAATGAGTGAGTGTATGGGATGACGAGATAATGACACTCCTAAATGCTGCTATCGCCTGACGGAAGCAGATAAGAAATAACCGGGGAAGAGGAGGGAAACGAGAAGGAAAAATGTCGAGAGGAAAAACAACAGGCGAACGAACCAGCGGATCCAAAAAGCCCACCGAAGCGAAGATACGACGAGGAAGTTAGCGAATACAACCACGGACTTAATCACCCGCAGTTCAGTTGTTGCATCCTTGGGCCAATTGGGCTATCTCGTCATTAACTACTCCGTAGTCAGCGCCCAATCCCAGTTCTACAGTGACTTCGCCGGTGGGGACCCAAGGGTGCCTGTGTTTTCCCAGAAGGTTGGTTTGATATTGTCTTGCTCACGTAGTTAACTATATGGAACAAATTGCCCTGAGCTACATTGGTGATAGGGTTGAACATTTGACAGGGAGAGGGCATCTGCATTGATCTACCACTGTACATAACATTACAGACAAAATTACCCTTGGGCTTTTGCCATTGGCAAACTGAGGCCCATGTCAATGTCAGTCAACCTTGGAATCCATCCAGACCTCGACGTCTGAAGCAACAGGCCGCAATTCAGACAGATCCACAGAACAAAACTTTGCGAAACTTGACAATTTACCCTTAATTAACTTGCCTAATTAAATAGTCCAGGGGTAAACCCCAACATCTGGAGCGCTAATGTTTTAGCCCAAGCCCACTCGAACCGCCTAACCAGAAAACCGCCTGGTCTTCCAGGGAAATGAACTGAACTGCAGGCCTCCGATTGCTGCAATCCCACAGCAGAGTATATGTTAGGCATCCTCACCCACTCTTTATCCTGACGATAATAATAACCTCTCCCCAAAAGTCCTCACAGCCCATGGGCCCATAGATTGATTAATGCACGTGGGATCTTGGTCAATGAAATATGTATGAAAAAAAAGAAGAAAAAAAAGGTAAAGCGTGATCTCTGCGCGAGCAGTCCATTTTCTGGTTTATTGTTGGATTTATTCGGGCCGAAAAAACCAATATGCAGACCCCTAAGAGCACCTACGGGCCAAGCAGCAGGGCAACATGCGCTTTTCTGGTGTTGGTCGAAGGTTAATCTGAATAAGAAGGATCTGAAACTACGTGAAAGCACTTCTTTTCTTGTTAGATATGAGTGCATGTGTCTAATGAGCACGTAGTTATCGTACATTGCATACATACATTGGATCTGCAGAGCCGGATAAACCACTGCTCCAACTATCCAGAGTTGACATTCAGGGACCAAGGGGGAAAAGACCACTCACTCACGCCCTTGGATATGCGTTCCACAGATGTCGTTTGCGTATATATTTTGCCGCCCCTTCTCATTTACGACGAAGGTTGCGGCTATGATTGATTAGGATCTTTCATAGCCTCCACGTCTCCTGGTTCCTCAAGTGCTGCTTCAATCTCCTCAATTTCAATATCGATATCTTGTGCTAGAGACCTCTCCTGTGCTGTATTTGTTAAGATTGGTAAGCAAATGGTTTTGTGTCGTATCCAGAAGAAAGAGTGCGGAGATGAAGCAGAACAAAACGGGGAATAAATGCAATCTTCATATGACATGACATACCTTTCCATAATTCCGCATAAACCCCATTCATGCTTAGCAGCTCACCATGTGTTCCGCTCTCAGCAACCTTGCCGTCTTTCAACACCAGGATTTGATCGCTATCATATATGGTACGCAGGCGATGTGCTACAAACACGCTCGTTCTTCCCTTGTCCTTCAGAATACTATTGATGTTTTGGAGCAACGCTTGCTCGGTATATGTGTCTAGGGCGGAAGTCTGTTTTCGTTCATCACAAAAGTTTAGGTTATCAGGCCAGCGACCAGCAAGGTTGCTCAAACAACAGATGAGTAAAACACTCACCGCTTCATCGAAAAATAGAAGAGGCGGATCTTTGAGAAGCAGACGCGCAACTGCCAGGCGCTGCTTTTCGCCTCCTGATATCATCATTCCACGTTCACCCACTGGTGTGTTGTAGCCTTCAGGAAGGCACTCAACGAGCTCATGGAAGTGTGCTCGTCGTGCTGCATTTCGGACTTCCTCTTCAGCTGCATCTATCCTACCATACCGGAGGTTGTGTTCGATGGTGTTGTTGAAAAGAGGCGTGTCTTGCGGAACTACCCCGATGGCTCTCCTTAAACTATCTAGGGAGACGTCACGAATATCCTGGCCGTCGATCAAAATCCTGCCCTCTTGGACGTCATAGAACCGAAACAAGAGCCGCAATATTGTTGACTTTCCGCACCCGCTGGGACCAACGATGGCGAATTTTTGGCCCGGCGAGATTGTGAAGCTGACCCCCTTCAGAACTGCACGGTCGGGATGGTAAGCGAAAGTTACGTTTTCAAATCTAATCTCTCCACCGCGAGTGAGCTGCAGTGGTTTGTTATCGGGCTTTTCCTTAACGTTAATGTTGACCCTTTGAAGATTAAAAAGGGTTTCCATGTCTAGCAAGGACTGTCTCAGTTCTCTGTACACAGACCCCAGGAAATTCAACGGTACCGATAGCTGGAAAACGAGCTGGTTAACCATGACTAAGTCCCCTACCGTCAGTTGTCCACCAGCAACTCCGGTCGCAGCCAAGTACATCATTCCCGCGAGCGCACCGGAAAATATAACATTCTGGCCCGAGTTGAGAAAAGCCAGAGACGTGGAGACTTTTATTGAGGCATCTTCATATCCTTTTAATGCCTGGTCGTATCTCGAAACCTCAAACTTTTCGTTGTTAAAATGTTTTACGGCCTCATAGTTGATTAATGAGTCCACCGCTATGGTAGCGGCTTGATTATCGGCTGCATTAGCCTTCTTCCGGAATTTCGTCCGCCAAGCAGTTGTTGTAATCGTAAACGCAGTATAGGCCATCATAGTCAAGGCGGTAATGGCAGCAAATTTCGGTCCATATTGATAGGTCTTGCAAAACAGATAACTTAGAATGAGGTTTTCAAGATGCTCTATTGCAACGAGTCAACCTACCAAGATGCCACAAACTAGAGATATCTCTAGCGCTGTCGGGAAGATATGGAACACCATTGAGGTAAGAAGGAAACTTATTCCTTTTGTTCCTCTGTCTATGGCACGAGTGAGACCGCCAGTTTGGCGGGTCAAATGGAAGTTCAGATCCAGCCGAAGGAGATGATCAAATACATTCCGGGCAACCCGTCTGATAGTCTTCTGCGCAACACTTGCAAAGACGGCATTCCGGAGCTCTTGGAACAGCGTTGCTCCGATTCTGGATGCACCATCTGTCTAACTTGTTAAATTATCTTTCGCATTGTCCAAGAAGATTCGTTTCCCACGTACAAGCGATAAGCATTGACCCTGCAACCGTCCATGCTGTGCCCCCAACGGCTGCAAAGTCGATATTCATTGAGTCGACAATACTTTTGAAGTAGAAGGGGACTTCAACATTAAGAATCTAAGAAAGGAATAAGCCAGGTAGAGAATATCCAGAAGAAACTATATAATTCACCTTTCCTCCCACTAAGAGAGTCAACGCTACTCCAACTCGAGCTTTGGTGCCTAAATCGTCCTATTATACTTTTAGTAAACGCAAAATTCGTAAATATCAGAACGATGATTCTTACCTTAGGCCATAGGTACTTGGCCATCTCCTTCATAATTGCCCAGTCTGCCTTTCTCTGTTCCTTTGTGTTAACGATAGTATCATTGAGAATGTCTGAGGTTCTCGTCGTTTTCGATTCAGGTACGCCTTTCATATCTTTCTGAATTACTGTGTGGTCTCTACCCTTGGAAATCTGAGAGGAAGGTTCGGAAAACGGATGGGAATTTTTTTTCGACAAAGGGTCCTGAGCGTTATGTTTCTTTGAGGTGTTACCTCTTGAACCAAATGTGCGCATTTGCCCTCTAATATTCGGACATGTAAGACGGGCGGGCTGTGAAAGACTGAATAATGCATGGTAGCATATCGACGGCGCGGCGCCGCGACGGACTGCTGCCGCCCAGAGAAGCATTCTGGTTGTTGGTGGGGGTATGTCTGGAAATTTTTATATGCCCTCGATTATCGCTAGTTACTGGGATATCATCTTGGACATATAATACGTCGAAGGGGATATATTCGACACTGTCTTTGTAAGGGGCTAAAAGGGAGAGTCACTGGGTTAGCAACAGCGATTGCGCCTCAGGAAGGCCTTCACCTTGCTGGATCACTGCACCCGTATACCAAGAGGAAACATGTCCAAGAAACATTCACTGCCAGGGTCTGGGTTTGAATTCAGAAGGCTGCGCAAGGAACGGTGTGCGCACGATGAGTTGAGTTGCGTTGTTGAGTTCAGCTGAGGCTGTTCCCCCAAGAAGTGGAAGAAGCTTGTTTGTTCTGTTTGCTCCCACGCCACTTTCGTTGGAGAATTACGACGACGTCCCCCGCAGCATCACTGCAGCGAGAGAAGGGTGATATCAATCTGTATGTAGCCATCTTTCCTTACAGCCATCGAACGCCCTCAGATGGAGACCATGGGTCATTCCATTGCGAAATCTCTCCCCCAACTTCTCTTAAAACAAGGGTTGCGGAGAAACCCTTCCAACTGCACTATTGCCCGGAGATGGATACATGTCCAGCAGCTCCAGCCCAGCGATCCGCAATTGGTTAATGGCAGCTATCTTCCCGCATCAAGAACTCCTCTTTCGGCTGCATCTCCCGGTACAGGGGCAAATTCCTTTCCGATGGCTTATTAAAAATGCTAATAACTTTTAAAAGATGCCAGATTTGAAGTTCTTGGTGCTCCGTACTCCCTCCTCTCCGTCACTCTCTCCGCATCCCAACACCTATACACACGGCGCGGAACTCTAGTTGGTTTAAGTGGGAAAGCGGATAATGTACAGGAATTGCTTGAGACATTTATTATGGACTTTGTGCTGATATATTCTTACCCCAGGTTGTTTCGACTCTAAGCATCCTAGAACCAATTCGTCACCCTTTCCTCGGCATCCCGTTCCTATACCAGAAGGTAAGGTTCCACATGGCATCAGCCATTACAACAACTTTCATTGACTTGCATCCCCGGTCATTGTAGATTTCCTCCGCAAGTCCAATTACCGCTTTGATAGCGACTCGCTCCCCTACAACCACATTTTCTGTCATTGAGTTGAACGGCTCTGTCGACTGGATGGTAGCACAACGACAAGCTTTGCTGGCTTGGACTGGTCATACATTGAGAATCAAGCCCAGAATCAATGCACAGCTAGTATGTGCAATCACTTCCTGTCTCTACCCGGAATGGAATTTGGAACTGACCCTTGAAGAGCCTGATGCATTGGGGTAATTCGGAAGTAACTGGCCGCGGATTACTTGCTCTAGTAGGCAATGGTCAGCTTTATTCGGTGGAATTGAAAGCTGGAGAACAGTTCATAACCCATCCAAGGTATTTATCTATTCGATATGTTTGTGTGATTACGCGCCGTTCTAAACAGCCCCCTAGCAACGTCGTCGCATATACAATCACCGCTCCTTCTCCGCGCCCCTACAAATTTAAATCTACCACGCTCCCATTCCAGGTTCCCAGGATTGAACTTGAGAAATGGCTCTCCAAGTCAAATTTCATAAAAAATATGTCAGACACGGACACATGGAGAGTTTTATCGAAACTATGGCACATAATTTGGACTTGGTCTCGCAAAACCATATGGGGTGATAGGGTGAGTATATATCCCAACCACGCAGAGGGCAAGCATATTGTTCTAACCGACATCCTTAGTTCTTCTTGCAATTCGACGGTCCAGTCACGATTCTAGTACAATCCCGTGCATCGAGGATTGCGGATGTTCTTACCACGCAACAAATCAACGAAATCGCCGACTCACCTCCAGGCGTCACCCAAGACGCCGTTCACAAAGTGGCGGCGGCGCAAACCCATAAAGAGGAGGTTATTTCCAAGGCTAAGGAAGGCATAGAATCCTCAATCTCTGGACAGAGCATTGCTAATGTCCGACATGATGGGAAAATCGAGTTTCACCGAACCGGAAATACCCAGCAGAAATAAAGTGCTACCGTTCCCGCCATATTTATTATTCTAGAATCCCTTCTACCCGTGTACAATATCTCTATCATCCTCCAATGGAGTGTATGATTAGACACTGACTTGTGACCTGTGTGGGGCACCTTCAACCCCCCAATAAGAAGCCTCTGATAAAAGCGATCCAGAATACTACCCCACTTGAGATTCGAGAAGGAAATATTTGCATCATAAATTGTCTTGCTTGACGTAGACACAAAGGACTGTTCCAAGGTTTGTTAAGCTCTTGAGTATAAATCTAACTGTCCAGAGTATATAGCTCCCTATCTATCCACGCATTACTCAAGTTAAGCGCGAACGATCAAGGTATAATAATGATACATGAAGTAACAGTTTCGTTGGATGTTTCAGTGGTACTATGGTTGATAAACTATGTACGTAGCAGTTTGAGAGCTTTCTGAGATAACTTGTTAACGTATTTAACAACCGAAGAACTTTAAAAAGACCTGTTGATTCATCAAGCCCGAAAATGGATGCCCTTCCGCCAGTCCCGGTTCCCTTCAACCACTGACCAACCCAGCAATTGATTTTCACCGAGACCCTTCGAACCATCGGATAATTCAACAATCACAGTCTCTTTCATTGGCAGCTTAACATCCTGCCCTGCGACTTTGGCGGAATAACCGGACGTCATGTGATCATACCTACTTCAACTCTACCCTAGCCTTTGAGGTCCCCTGTTCGTCCCTGTGTTTCCCTCTGTTCATGGGCGCCAGGTCCGACATATGCCCGGCACCAAGGAAGAAGTTCCAGAACTATTGTGCAAAAGGGGGTTCGTCAAATAGTACAGCCTAAATAACTTCTACCTCTGGATTACTACGCAAACATGCGGTTCATACATATCTGATTTGGCAGCCTCCTATTTTGCTCTTGCTCCTTCAGGTTTTGGATGCCTCAAACTCGCTTGCTTTATCATGTACGCCTGTTTACGAAACAGGAGAACATTGATTTCCACACGGTTGATATTAGAGATCTAAACGATAGGAGACTGGAGGGGGGTTAATCGGAGCGTCGTGGGTTTCCAGACCCTGCCATATATGGAGAAGTCGCTGCGTCCTCGAACAGCCCAGGCTAACAAATGAAGATCAGGTTGATACCTCAAAAACATCTTTGTCCACCCTGCTCCTTGATGTGAAAGACAAACAGTTAAAAGTTGGCTTCATGTGGAAGCGGTGGTGGAAATTGTACTTCTCCACTACGGAGTTCCGTGGAAACGGTCCAGACAGTAAGTTGTCCTATTTTTTGATCGTTGCAAGCTTCTTATAATCACAGACTAATGCAATCTATTATTTTCTAGGGCAGGACTTGGGTTGCTCAGACTCCTCAGAGATGAGGGATAGCCCAGTAATTTCGTCCTGCACCTGTTGCCACGAGCGAGGTATAGCCTGTGACAATCAATACCCTCAGTGCTCGCAATGTTTCCAGGAGCAACTACTATGTTTCTACATCGGCACGTCCGGAAAGAAGCGGTTGAGCTCACGCCGGATGCCTGTGCAGACTCTGGATGAATAGCCTTGGTGTCGTCCTTTTCTACATTGGGGGAATTGCTCTTATTAACCCTTTGCGGAATCCGCTTGAAATGCAATACAATCCTTCATGAAATTATTAACCCAGCAGCTGGATGTTCCACAAGCAATAACCTACAGCTATGAAAAGTAATGAAGGTTAGAAAATAGTATGTACTGTCTGCTATGAAAATTGATTGTGTTTATTGATCTCAACTGAGCCGCTCGGTGTTGAGAAGAGGTTCTTGAGAAGAATGTATTCATGATGAAATATATATAGCGTTGTAATGCATCTTAAGCTTGAGTGCAAAAGTTCCTTGTCTTTAATTAAAGCAAGAAGTTAATAGTTAAAAAGAAGTAGTGAATTTCGATATTTTGATTTCGTCAATATTGTAACACTTTCCCTGACTTGTTTAAATCTTTTAAGAGTCTACTCAAGTGACTGATTATTCTTTTCTTTCAGTATTCTGCTCATGCTGCATAATCTTTGATGAGAGATTTAATATATAGAGCAGTTTAAAAGAGCAAGAATTGATGAATGTATACACTGAAGCAACGTTGATTCTAATAAACAAGTAAGCAATCAGTTGAAGTTGAATAATTTGCATAATTCCAACTAAATTATTCAGTGGTGAGGACTGACAAGGACCCAGACGCATACTTTTCGTTCACAATGACTCTTAAACCGTTTACAAAAAGTTAGTTGTAATTGAATTGTTGTGTTAAGGACATGCAACCTATTTTTAACTAAACCAACCATGAACTTGAACTTGACATGAGCCAGTCAATTTTCCACCAAGTTAAACACCACCATTTTGATATCTTCTTTTCTAACTTGTCACCAGCTAATTTAATCCGAGTTCTCACTTCCCAACTGGTGGTTATGAACTATCTCTTTCATTTTCATTCATGAAGAGGATCGGTTTGCCAGTCAGATTATGATCCAAAGAAATATTCCCATGCTCTGTGCCCTGACCATGAATTGGCAATGGCACATAAGAATTATCCCTTACGGGACAATAAGGCTATTTGTTATATGACTGGATGGGATAATGCGCCAAACTATAATTACGACAGAGGGTATAATCTTGTGGGGTAATTTTTATTCTGCGCACTGACCTGGGCAAAATCGGACAAATGTTTCATGAATGGCGGACCGGAGACTGTCATTCGTGATGCTATTGTCGTGGCTAATATGAAATGGGAGTATTGAAGAAGGCGAACTAATTTGACACCTTCTTTTCTCGTGGCATGATTTTGAGTCGATTTTGAAGGGACTGGCGCTGAATTTAATGTGCCCGATCCTTGTTCTAAAATTTCACCTCCGACGGTCCGCATTTGAGGAGTTTGGGGGGTTTGTGAACCTCATCTTCTTAAAATACTCCACTATGCATTCCGTTGAAACTTCACCGTCACACGGCAGCAACCCAGCATGCTTTCTTGAATATAATCAAATGCTATTCTTGAAACTTGAGAATGACGGTGCCTAGGAATGTATAGATTGCCGTCCCCCCGCTTTGCTAAACAAAACAGTAACTTGGGATGGTGGGTGGCCACTGAAAGGGATTTAAGCACAGATGCTATAGAGAAATGACTATAGCTTCTCCAATCACAGCCACGAGGCTTTGTTGCGAACCGTGCTTCTCCGTGATAGGTCTACCAGCGCATAGCTATTATTATTGCAGATCCGATTAAGAATCAACGGCTTCTGATATCGACTTGATAGAGTTCGAGATATTGAACCGTCCGATCTATATAAACAAATGCGCGGAAATCAACCAGTCTCACATAACAACCGAAAAAGAGGAGAAAAGCCATGTTTCATGGAGCTGATGAGATTAGTTATCTTGCAACAATAGAAAAGTCAGACGGTTTGGGGGAAACTCCGGGATAAGCATTTTTAGATCCCGCAGCAGCCACGTGGTTATCCTCGATGTTTGGATAGAAAACAGCTGGGCACCGACCAGACAACACAAAACGAAATGGTGATGTCACTGTGGTATGTATGTAGTTATATATAGTTGTAATATGGAGGTCAGTTAAGAGGCAAAACTGGCTGCGTGTTGCCTCTGCCGGCAGGCGACGTACGTTTCCCTATTCTGTTATTGACGCTTCCAGGGAGAGGTACATGTGCAGTACATATTTCCACTTATTGTCGACCGTTTACGATCGAGAATGACAGCAAAAGAGAAATTCCCAAGGACGTTATTGATGCGGGATGATTGGATCAAAGAGATACCCCTCTCCCATCGAGTCGTCCAAGCTTGCTTTGGCTCATAAAGCGGGGAGTTTTCAGACGCGGCATTCTTGCATCCGACAGTGAAAACAGACATGTCGTCTGATTGGGTGGCTTCGCTGGTTCTTTAACCTTCTGTCTCTTCATCTGTGATACATGTACTGTGAACGACTAGCCGAACAATGCTGGAGTCTGTCTGGTGTATCCCCCATCTCTGCTGTCAGCTGTCCCCTCCCTGCTCATATTGACACCAAGTTGGGTCTGAATCCGAATATGCAGAAGAGCACGAGGTTGTGCATTTCCAGCATGACGGTTCATCCGTGGTCGTCGACGACGATGATGGAATGTTCCTTGAGAAACAGCATTAAGAGGTGAGGGCAACGCGGTAGTTAAACTAGTTTACTAGTGGGTCCTTTGACATGCTTTGAAATCCGGGTTTTTATTATCTGATAACTATAGCAACCTGCAGTCCATTCGTGACAAATGTCGAGGCACTATCTAGACTAGGCACAGCATAGTAATTCCTTTGACAAACACGCTTACCTAGGTAGATGAACTGCTTAACTCCGCGCCGACTCTCCACACTGAACAAATGTTTGAGCAGTTGGTTGGTTTGGCTGGCTAGTTCATTTAATTTCGGATGCCACCCCCCCCAAACAAGCCCTCCCGGACGAAACTTCACCGACACCTCGCATGCTCCAAAAGCTCCCCACCTGGGCTGTCATTGCATGGATCTGCGATGAGGAGATGGAGATGGCGGGTGAAATTCCGTTCCATGATAAACCAAAACCAGCAGAGATCCCTGCGGTAAACGGTGCCCAGGTGGTACCGGGGTGTATTTTAGATCGCTTGCTGACCCCCAATCATTCGGATTTATCGCAATGGGAGAGTCTTTTTATCAGCAGTGACAGGCTCTTTCCTGGCTAGAGCCCTTGAAGGATCGGACCATGTTTGTGATTTAATGTTTATTAAATGCTTGTTTTGCCCCCCTGAATACAATTATTAATAACTTAAAACTAGCTATTCTCAGTAGAGATCCGTTTTTGGATTGCATTTCCTCGTCTAAGGAGAGCCCGCATACGGGAGGTAACAGCAATTAATTATTTGAGCTCTTAACCCTCAATAGTTGCACTGGAACTTAACTTGAGATATTGCGCTTAGCACATGTATACCCACTGTTCCTCTTTTTTATTATTATTTTTTTTTTATCTCCCGCTCTGTACTCCTTCCTGGTGTCTGCCAAGCTCTCCTTGCTGAGCCCGCAACGGAAACCTACTTGATGTTCGCTCTCACAGCGCAGGGCAGCTTCATTCACGGGGAATTGCTTCATTGACAACCGTTTATGATATTTCTCTCTACAGCTCTTTGCTACTTTTGTCACTCCGCCAGAGAGATATATACCTATACGTATATCCCCAGTATTCCCCGCTCAGGGATGTTGAATTGAGGTTCCTCACCAGTTGGCGCCTTCTTTCTTCCCCTGCCCTTTACTTGGATTGGATTGCACCTTAGCAGTTCGGGACGCCAACCCAAGAAAACCCGCTGCCTTCGTGTCTTGTTTACTCCTGTTGACAATCTGGTGCGAGATCGGGGTATATAGACGCTTTTTGAGTTTCCTCGGGATGACGTCCACCGACGGGGAGAGGTCAATCGAAGATAGATTAACAGATGGCCAATCATGGAACGTACCAGATCGGCAAAAGCTATGGGAGCTTCCTCCCTCTCCTAGGTCCAGCATAACTCATGTGCTGGGATCCGCTCATCCAGATCGAAGATCAAGCAGCGGATCAGACAACAGGGCTCACGATGGTCCGAATTTTCAGGAAAAAGAACGTCGTGGCGCTAGGGACGTTGAGCAACAGAAACCAGCGGCTGAGCCTCCCACGGATCCCATGAGAGACGCAGGCGCCTACCCTGAAGGTGGAATAGAGGCGTGGACTGTTGTTTTCGGTGGATTTTGTGGGTTGTTTGTGAGCTTTGGATGGATCACTTGTGAGGAAAATCAATGCCCTTTTTTTCTCTTGTAGATCAACAGATCTCTTTCACTTCTCAAAGCGACAAAGTTCAGGGGGGGGGGGGGGAAATAGGCTAATATGAAGTAGGTATTGGAGTGTTCCAGGACTTTTATCAAAACAACCAGTTGAAGAACTACTCACCTAGCACCATAGCCTGGATACCGTCGCTTGAAACATGCATGATGTTCGTGGTGGTAGGTCAAAAGAAAAAGTCCATCCGAAACTTTTTACCAGACGCCTTCTGAAACCATGCTGACCCATCTACTTACATATGAGTAGGCCCCAATTTGCGGCAAAGTTTTTGACAACTACGGTCCTCGACACTTACTGTTGATAGGGACCTTTCTCCACGTTTTTGGCCTGATGATGACCTCCATATCAACTTCATACTACCAAATCCTTCTGGCCCAGGGTATCTGCAGCCCACTTGGTGCAGGTACTATCTTCTACCCGTGCATCAATAGCGCCACAACATGGTTTTCCAGAAGAAGAGCATTCGCGCTTGGGGTCGTGGCCAGTGGATCAAGCGTTGGGGGTGTGATATATCCCATCCTAGTTTCAAAGCTTGTTCCTCGTGTGGGATTTGGCTGGACGATGCGAATCTGCGCATTTGTCATCTTGGCTTTATGCATCGTCGTAAATCTGACCGTGAAATCGAGAATTCCACCCCACCCCAAACCGTTCAAATTAAAGGATTTTACCTCTCCTTTTTTGGAGTTGCCATTCGTCCTGGTCGCTGCTGGCGCATGGCTGTTT